TTTTTTTAATTATTATTATTTTTTGCATATAACAATAAGTATGTTTTGGCATGTGCATCACGTATGGCTTTGCCCACAAAAACTTTTCATGGTTATGTTAGCATTTTTCCACCTGAAGTGAAAAATTCACTTGAAAAAAGGCACTGTTTTGATTTTATTTCCAGGTATCTTGAACTGTTAAAACTTCGATTTGGCGAGTCCCAGCTTCACTATTGTGAGGTGATGCTGAAGGATGTGGCTGACTCCAAACGTATCAATTCTCACATTGCTGAACAGAAAGAGAGGGAGGAAGCACAGGGAGTAGAGAGAGAGGATGCAGAGGTAATAGTTGTTGTTTTTTTATTTTATTTTATTTTATTTTATTTATTATATTTTTTTTCAGTATGATTTTAAATTGAACTGAATTATTATGGATCAGGTGGAAGCTCAGTTAATTCATCATAAACAAAGAATAAGTAAAACCTATGAGATTGGAAGGCAATCAGAGTCGATTGCAGTACTATAGAATATTCTGCACCGTGATATCATGTTATTCACTCATTCAGGAAACATTTCATTTTACAGTTTACTTTTTTTCAGGAAATTCCAGTGAATTCTATGGTGCTTTCTGCTCAGTTCTGGCCCAGTTTCAGAGAAGAAAAGATTGAGCTACCAGAAATAATGCAGACATCTTTAAAGACTTACACAAAATCCTTTGAGGCTTTGAAAGGAAATAGAACTTTACAGTGGAAACCACATTTAGGTAATAAAAAAAAACACACTGTATACACTGTATTTATGGAAGGCTTTTATTATTTTGGATATATTATCATGAATATAACATTATTCATATGAGCATATAAAGGCATTTATAACTTTGATAAGTACTTAACAATTCTTTAGATTTAAGGGAATATTGTTGGTAAAAAGTGTTCCAGTAAAGCTTCTTTTTTCAGTTTATTTTCAGCATTGTATGGAAGAATATTCATCAATTTTTTTTCTTTTTTCCCCCTATACAAGTACTGAGTATATGTGTGGCATTTTACTTCTGCGTATCCATTCTGATAACTCTCTGTCAGGAAATTAACCATTCAAATATTGTACTTCATTAATTCTTTTTTCCAGGTCTGATGGATATAGAAATTGAGCTGAAGAACAGCAAAACATTGAACATGAAAGTGACTCCAGTTCAAGCTGCCATCTTCATGCAATTTCAAGAAAAAGGTATGATGTTTGCTCTTTTATTCAGAACAAATATTTTACTTGCATCAACAATTTTGTCAATAGATCATGGGGAAAAAATGAGAATTGTGATTGTTGGATATGTAAATTTGTTTATAGTTATTCTATTCAAAATTTCACCTGTAGTATTCATTAGGATTTTTAGGTCAGTTGATTTTATGCCAACAGCATGAATTTTTATGAATATTCTTCTTTTAATGTTTGTAAATTAACAGCAGTGTTGAAAATCAATTGGTGTGTTTTTAACCTTCTATATTTTCAAATTGGCATTTTTTCCCTCACATGATGCTTTTTGTCACTTCATTGTTCAACATAAACAGCAATGTTGCTGTCATTGAACCCCTCCAATATTTTTTAATAGTAATTATTTGGTCACATTATCAGGGAATGCCCAGATTAATTTTCTTTCTCTTAAATTCCATTCAGAAAAATGGACAGTGGATGAGCTAAGTGCTGTGTTAAAGATGCCCAGTGCAGCATTGAGGAGGAAGATCACATTCTGGCAGACTAAGGGACTTCTGAAAGAAGAAGTAACAGACACTTTTGTGTTGGTCGAGGAACACAAGGCTCGTCATAACGACATCATGGTCGTAGATGAAGACGAGGCCGAGTCTGCAATGGCGTCGTCACATGATCAGCGCGAGGAGGAGATGCAGGTATGGTGCAAGAATAGAATTATTTATTAATTTAATATTTAATAAAAATGATGTACACTTATCTGAGGTTGTGGTTGAAATTTTCAGTTTTTGTCTGTTGATTGATTTGGTGACTGAATTATTCATTTAAAATTTTTGTTTTATCATCATTTTTGCTTTGTTTTTGTTATATTTATTCACTTATTTTACTGTTGCAAAACTTGCTGCAATATAAAAAGACAATTTCTCAATTGTTAAGTTTTGGAAGAGCTTTCTCTTTTGTAGAAACAAATTAGCTCCAGTACAGTATTGGAAGTTTTCGTATATGCATTCAGTGCCATTCTTTTTCACTGTAATTATAGATGACTCTTTTTCTTAACAATTACAAAATTTATCTACAGGTCTACTGGTCCTACATAGTTGGGATGCTAACCAACCTGGAGTCCCTCCCCTTGGAGAGAATCCACACTATGTTGAAGATGTTTGCCATGCAGGGGCCTACCACGTCAGAGTGTTGTGTACAAGAACTGAAAACATTCCTGGATAGAAAAGTGAAGGAACAGAAACTGTTGTATTCTGGAGGTGTTTACCGGTTGCCGAAAGGAGGTAGCTGAAGACGTTTTCATATCTGAATGTGTACATATGTAACCTTGTCTAATCAGTCCCTGCAGCCGCTGGCGTCATGCATTTAGGCAAATGTTGCATCATCTGTTTCTAGCTCTGGAGATTGTACCTGAGGAATTATGTCATAGGAAAGATACCAATGCAGATACACCAAAAGAAGAATTTTTTATCATGCTGAAAATAAATGATTGGGTGACCATAAATTTAAGTTGCTGTTTTCTTTAAGAATACCCAAGTAAAATAAATGCACTGCAGCAGTTGTATTGCCAAATATCCTTTTTTTCATATACTGCCCAGTCTAGTCTTCACAACTGAATTAAAACCATTTTCGGAGTTTATGAGTCGGATGTTTTTAAACAACACTTTTACTAGCTGTAAATTGGAGAACACTGATATCATTTGCAGTTGAGCATTAAAATATTAAAATTCAGTTGATAAAAAAATATTAAACACTTTCTTCAACTGATTTTTATTTTGCCAAATCAAAACTTAATGAGTTGAAAACAGATAATGACAAATAACTGAAACCAACAAAACTTTATCTCAATAAAGATTCGTACATTAACAAATTATATACTATTTAATTTAATCAATCAATAATGAAAGTGAAAATTGAACAGAGGGAATTTTCCTGGTGCTTCTGTTTAAGTTCTGTAACCCAAGTCCTTTTCTTTTTACAATCTTTGAATACAACACTGGTAAAGGTATTTCGCAGAATGAAATTTCCACTGGTCGCTCACTCCATAAATGTCTGTACCATAGCAGCCACTGGCATTTCAAAGAGTAGGGAAACAAAGAAAGCACACACGTAGGTGAGGAACACCACGGCTATATAAAGCAGGGCCTGAAGGAAAGAAGAAAAAAAAAGATGTCACCAAGACAGTGGCGGATTTAGGGGGTGTCAGGGAGGGCTCCTGACCCCCCCCCCCTCCCCCATCGATTTCTGAAAAAAATCACACCAATGGTCCTTTCTTGAAATGAGAATTTTGACTAGCTGAATCATAGTTCTAACCCGTACCAAATGGCACTGTTCGCCCTCTAAAATACCAAAAAATTTCAGGGCCCTTCAGTGGGCCCCGAAACCCACGCCCAGGTTGTGGAGAAATTGCACTTGCTACATTTCTTAACACAATAGAAGGCACACAAAGAGCAATATACAAAGCAATATAAAAAGCAAAAAATCATTTCCTGGAAATTTGATCACATTTCCCGTAATCAATTAAATGTATTCTTACAATAACAAAACCCGTTTTAAAATTAAGTTTTTGATTTTTGACTCAACGTGATACAATTGTTATCAAATATACGCACCAGTAGAAACTGTAAAATACTCAGGGTAAAAATTTAAAAAATTAGACTTCGAAAATAAGTTTACAGGGTGTAAATATGACGTTCACTCATGCTTCAATCGCCATCTCAAGGTTTATCAATTATGTACATATACATACCACATAAACATCGGAGAAGTAGATGACCGATCTGGTACTGTAGAAGTAAGCCTCCAGCAGCACGGGGTGGACGATGTAGGCCACGTGAGTCAGTCTAGCAAGAGGAACCCAGCCTCTCCACGACAGAAAGCTATGAACTATACCTGGAAAACAATTTTGGATCATCATAATTTATCTGAAAGTTATGAGCTAGGGGAAGAAGTGCTACATTTACAAAGTGCTTAGTGAGTACACAAAATATTACAGGGTAAATTACCGTACGTCATTTTTAAATTTTAATATTACAAATTGTATCTAGATTTAAAAAATTTGAAAACAATTAATAAAAGAGGCACGATAAAAGGTAACAAAAAGTAGAAGGTAACAAAAAAACTTGCCAAAACAAAATGGGAGATCATTTTTCTGCGTAGAAATTTCAATTATTTCTAAATTGCAATTCCATTTTCAAAAAACGTATGTACATGTACTGCTCGAACAAAAGCAAAAGATCTTAAATTATCATATATACTCATCATTAAACACTCCCATCACTTCTTTACGGTTCTAAGTCAGCCACTGTTCAGGGGCGGATCCAGGATTATTTGAAGGGGGGTCTGCGGATGCAAAGCCCCCCCCCTTCC